ACATATTTATGAATCACATCGAGAAAAACAAGATACATGACAGCTCCAATCCATTTAAGGACAAAATCATCAAATGGTTCAGATATGTGGACGATATTTTATGCGTATGGAATGGCAACCAAGAAGAACTAACAAACTTTCTACAATACTTAAATCTTATACATAACAACTTACATTTTACAATTGAAATAGAAAACAATAAAAAATTGAATTTCCAATAAAATTACAATAAAATTGTTAGACAAAACAATAGAAAGAAAATCACCCAACTTAAATTTCAACATATACAGTGTGTCCCAGGATAGATGTTACAAGAGGTATAATGACTTAAAATTTTTTGAATATTATTTTAAGTCTGAGGAATTAAGCACTGCTTGGTGTGGAGAGAATTTTAAGTATATTTTTATATTTTGAAAATCAACTCGGTCTTGATAGTGAGGCGAAAACTATTTTTAGTTCAGGTAAAGTAAGCTTTTTGTTCATAATATGGCAAAATGTCATTAAGAAAAGTTGTTCAGAATGAGAAATTATGGTATTATGCAAAATTTCAGAAAGATCTAGCTATATTGATTAAACCACCATATTTTTGATTAGATCAGAGTTAAGAAAAAAAACAATGAAAAATGTCACGTAAAAAAAAAATGACAAATAAATTGTATTATCCCTCAGTTTTAGTTCACATTTCAATTACTATACAGGGTGTATCAGGTATGAGTAGACAAAAATTGAAGGGTTATAGGTCTCCTCTGTCTGAATAAAAAATTCTTATAACACCATGTCCCATTCTTTGTCCTTCTTAAGATGTGATACGATAAAGTTAAGGGTTCACAAGTTTGAGTACTACTGGTTAATGAATTTTATTATACTAAGCAGGCTTTGCTTTGCAATTTGTAATTTGTTTCTAGTTTTGTAACTTTGTTGTTTTTAATACAATAAACAAGTTTATTTATTAAAACCAAAATTTTTGTAAATTTTCACATTAAAGAGTGATAAAATTCTAAAGAAATATCACAAAAATGACTTTTATGTGTCAAATTAAAGCTATATACATAAGCAAAGCCTGCTTAGTATAATTCTTTATACAGCAGTACTTAAACTTTCAAACCCTTAACTTTATCGTGTCATATCTTAAGAATGGCAAAGAATGGGACATTGTGTTATAAGAATTTTTTATTCACAAAAATGGGACCTATAACCCCTCAAATTTTTTCTACTCATACTTGATACACCTGTATATACAATATTTATGTTATTTAAACTAAAATGTGATGGTTCAACCAAAGTAGATAGATCCTTCTGAAATTTTGTATAGGCCCATAATTTATCATGTTGAACAACTTTTCTTAATAAAATGTTTCCGTATCATGAACAAAAAGATTACTTTACCTAAACTAAAAATAGTTTTCGATTCATTGTCAAGGCCGCCTTTGTTTTCAAATTATGAAAATATTCTTAAAATTCTCTTCACACCAAGCAGGGCTTAATTCCTTAGCCTTTTAATACATTTCAAAAATTTTTATGTCATTATACCTCTTGTAACATCTATCCTGGGATACACTGTATAGAAAACCTACAACTAAAATAGTATATTATTCAACAAACGTATAATGGCGGCTGTTACTCACGAATAAGAAGTTGTGTAATCTGAATGGGTAACATCCATTATACGCAAGTTGAATAGTATACTTTATCTACAACTATTTCATTTTGAAAAAAAATCAAAAAAAATGAAAAAAAATAAACTTGATAGACATTTCAGACATAACCTCAATATAAGAAAGCTGTCAGTTCATATTTTATTTTTTGATTAGTAGGTCGTGGAATAATGGCTTCATTATTCAACACTTTGTCAGTCATGGGTAATGCGTGTCATTACCCGTCAAAAATCAATTGTATAATGAATAGATAATTCAATAGTTGTAGATAAACATCATTACCATGGGACTCACATCACACCACTACACATAAACTGGCTTCTTTCAGATTCTATATCAACAGACTTTTCACATACCCTCTGGATAAAAATGACATAACAACTGAAATTAACTATATTAGAAACCTTGCAAAAACTAATGATTTTCCAAATAATATAATTAATAATCTAATAACAAACATATACATACAACATGATCCTCTGTACTATAAGACCCGTAAAGAACAACAAACATATTATAGATCCCTTCCATACAACAATCTGAATTGCACAATTATTGGTAAATTAAAAACACACAATATCAGCATCCGTTATGAAAATAATAATAGCATTTTCAACAAGTTAGCCAACTACAAAATAAAAGAAGAACAAGGTAACTCTAGCGGGATATAGGGGAGGTGCGCCTAAGAGTACGCACTTAACTTTATTTTTTTAATAAAAAATGGATTTCACATCAAAACGAGTTTATTCTATGACATAGTAGCCATGCCTACAAGCTAACAAATGGTCAAAGGAAAAAGAATTGTTGTAATCATGTGTACAGAGAGTGTTATAAAAAAAGCGAGCGCGCGTACTCTTAGAAACACATTTAACTAAGAGTACGCAGTTGTGCATCTCAGAGTACGCATAAAAACGGTGCACTAAATAAAACACAATATTCTGTTTAAAAATAATATACAGGGTGTCACACAAAAAAACGCCCCTAGCTTTAACTCTGTCATTTACATTCCGATTTTCATGAGCGGGGTATCAAATGAAATGGTTTCATGAATACTATGATTCAAATACTATGATGCTACAAATAAATTTTTTCCAAGGCCATCTTCAATTTTAAGCGATTATTAACTTTTGCTTTACAAATTGCTCTATATATTTTTCTTTACGTCATTGGATAGAGATTGTTTTTCTGAATTCACTGATGTACAATACATCCATTTTGAATATAATTTTAGCAGAGAAAAGACATCTGTATATAGAGGTTCCCACACAAGAACGCCGCAAGCTGTAACTCTGTCATTTACCTTCCAATTTTCATGACCTAGCTATCAAATGAAATGGTTTGCTGAATACTATGATTCATGCTACAAATAAACTTTTCCTAACGCCATCTTCAATTTCAAGCGATTAACAACTTTTGATTTTCAAATTGCTCGGTATGTTTTTCATCACGTTATTGGATAGAGATTTTTTTTCTGAACCCATTGATGTATAATAGATTAACATTAATTGTAATTTTAGCAGAGAAAAACAATTAAAACATTTTCCGACCATAGTCTCTAGTGTGCCATAGAAAAAATAACGGGCAAAACTGATAACAGTCATTAAATGTTATTTCAATGCCCGAAGTAGTTGTAAATGATACTTATAAGTTGTTTTTTTTTATTTTTTCCCATGGCACACTACAGTATACCACAAGTGACTTTAAGAGAATGTTCGGAAACTATTTTAATGTTTTTCTCTACTACAATTATAATTAATGTTGATGTATTGTACATTCATGGGTTCAGAAAAAAAATCTCTATCCAATAACGTGAAGAAAAACTTACCGAGCAGTTTGAAAATCAAAAGTTTTTATCGCTTTAAATTGAAGATGGCGTTGGAAAAAGTTTATTTGTAGCATGAATCATAGTATTCAGCAAACCTTTTCATTTGATACATCGCTCATGAAAATCGGAATGTAAATGACAGAATTACAGCTTGCGGCATTCTTGTGTGACAACCTGTATCTACAGGTGTCTTTTCTCTGCTAAACTTACATTCAAAATGGATGTATTGTACATCAATGGATTCAGAAGAACAATCTCTATCCAATGACGTGAAGAAAAATATACGCAGCAATTTGAAAAACAAAAGTTAATAATCGCTTAAAATTGAAGATGGCGTTGAAAAAAATTATTTGTAGCATGAATCATAGCATTTATAAAACCATTTCATTTGATACCTAAGCCATGAATATCGGAATGTAAATATCAGAGTTACAGCTTGGGGCGTTTTTTGTGTGACACCCTGTATATGAAAAGTGTATTAATTTTCTAACAAGTCGCACAAAAAAAAACTTTTCGTCCTTGATAATTAACATACAGAATGTAAGAGTACGCAGAATGGTAAAGAGTACACATGCATACTCTTTGGGTGCGTACTCTTTAACATCCATACATGAATGGCCTTTTTGTGTTTTATGTATAGTGTATCCAACTGCAAGTCAAAAACATATGCATGGTTGCTTAATAAAGGAACTTCATGACTTATTAGTGGAAATTTGAAATTTAGTGATGTTTATTACACAATACCTTACACAAAAGCAAATGAAAAAGTTATAAGAATATGTATAAAATATTGTTACTTATCGTTACCAACGCTTTAAACAACAAAATTAGTGGATAACGTAACCTCAACCACAAAACCTGTCAGAGCAACCAACCGATACTAAACCGACCTATTCAAGAGTTGCTTGATGGAAAATTCTCGAATGCGTACTCTTACGGACTGCGTACTCTTAGGCACACCTCCCCTACAATATACAATGCCAAATTACCTCGGATTGTAATTACCAGGTCATCAGGCTGCAGCCCATACCTAAATCCAGTGCTGATTACACATTACTTTAATTTGTTATATTCTGTGTTATTTTACTTTATTTTATTTAGTCAATAAAATACAGTTTAGGAGTGACGTTTTCCACCTCAATTTAATGCATATTTTTTGTGTTACCATTGCTAGCCAAATATCGTCGAAATTTAAACAGTTATTCCCGATCCTGTGAGATCCGCTGGTTCTGTTGCAAAGTTTAAATCAGCAGTATTGCATGGCGGGTTGTATGGTCGACTATAGATTGTCTTTATTAGAAGCCTTAATGACTAAATTAATTCTAATTGGTATTTAACCATTATACTTATTTGTATTAGTCGCTTTTTCCATTATACTTATCGCATCATTTATATGCGTACACTTTTTTCATTTTAGCAGGTTGAACCAGATCTTTATCTATTCTTGCTCCGTTTGTGCAGTTTAAAGTGCAAATTAAAACTTTTTCATATAAGAGACACACCATTTCCCGCATTAATCCGTTATATCGAGATTTTATTATTTAAAAATGTAATAAATATCTATTTTATTTACTTAGGCTCCAAGCCCCGTTGAAAAATGGTCCGGAATCAAAGATTGTACAAAAGATGGTTCTCCATCTTATTCAAAACTTATGGCTGAAAATAAAATAGTTGGCTCGGAGGATTGCCTTGTGTTAAATGTCTTTACAAAAACTGTAAATGAAGAAATAAAAATTCATTTAAAAATATTGACCCAATGAGTTATTTCAAAAATTTTTTAGTATCCGAATGAATCAAATCAAAAACCTGTCATGTTTTGGATTCATGGAGGAGGATTCACGATGGGTTCAAGCAACGTATACAAACCAGATTTTTTTATGACCAAAGACATCGTTCTTGTTACAATTAATTACAGATTAGGAGTTATGGGTATATTAAAAACTCAAAAAAATTATTTCATTACCATTATAATTGATTTCTAGGTTTTTTATCATTCGAAGATCCTAAATTAAGAGTCCCTGGTAACGCTGGTTTTAAAGATCAAGTTATGGCGTTAAAATGGGTACAAAGAAACATAACAAAATTCGGTGGAAATCCAAATAACGTGACAATTTTTGGGGAAAGTGCTGGAGGATGCTCCACCCATAACTTAATTCTTTCCCCAATGGCTAAAGGCTTATTTCATAAAGCAATTGCACAAAGTGGTTGTGCGTTAAATCCTTGGTCGATCGCAAACAACCCATTAAAGAAACTTTTAAAAAGTCTTAATTACAACTATAATAACGACAAAGATACCTTGAAATATCTTCAAAGTTTACCCATTGAAACTATTTTTGAAGCTCAAGATCTTATTGGAGATAATTTAGATATTGACGGGCAAAGAGATTTTGGGTTAATTCTTGAAAAACCATCGAAAATTGAAGAAAATTTTTTGACGGAGGAACCTATCAAGATAATAAAACGTGGGGATTACAACAAGGTTCCAATTATTTTTGGTTATACCGATGCGGAAGGATTAATTTGCACTGTTTTTAATCTAATGTATCCTCAAGTAAAACTTTCATTAAATGATTTTGAAGAAGCAATTCCAAGAGATATCAAAACACGATTTGGAAATGAGATTTTAAAGAAAATTTCCGAAAAAATTAAAGGATTTTATTCTGATAGATATATTTTGGTATATAAGAGAATTTCAATAATTTTTTTTAATAAATTTTATTTTAGCTTCATGGCGATATCTATTTTGTATACGGAATCCAAAAATCAGCTGAAGAACATTTAAAAACATCAAATGAGCCAATTTATCTTTATCGATTTTCAGTTGATGGAAATCGGAATCTTTTTAAAGCGATATCAAAACCTGATTATCCAGGTAAATACTATTTTTGAAAAAAAAAATATTTTTTTATTTATTTTTTTAGGTGCTTCTCATGCTGATGATTTAGCATACCTTTTCCATATGGATTCTCCTCAATTACTAAACAATAATATAATTTCAATAAATAGTTTAGAAGATAAAACCATTAAAAGGATGATTGAATTGTGGACTAATTTTGCCACAACAGGAAATCCCAATCCTACAAAGCCGAATGACCTAATTAATGTTACTTGGAAACCAATTTCAAACGGTGCTTTAAATTTTATTGATATAGGAAGTGATTTAAGCGGTGGTATAAATCCAGATGGAAATCGAATGGATTTTTGGAAAGAAATTTATAATTCCGTATCTTAAAACTTAATTTCTAAATTAGTTTGGATAAAATATACAAATCCACAAAAGTAATTGTCCAATAATTATAAAATGTAAATGAATAAACGTTTTTTTAAACGCTTTGTGATTGCCCAAAAAGTTTTTAACCAGCAGGATAAAAGATGTACAAGAGTTGTACTTCACTTTATTTTATGTAGTTCATAAAATAGAATTCGAGATATAAGTAAGCCATTGTGGTTAAAGAGTCTTCAACCATGGCCAACAAGAATATCCGTTGCAGAGCTTGAAGCCGTCTGTTAAAATAAATATTATTCAACCTTGATCCCCACACAGGAATCTTATAGCTCACTATATCCAAAAATAGATTATTGTACAAGATTTTTGTATTATATATTCCGTACGGAGTATTCGTTTTAGTTGTGCAAAAGATGTTCAAGATAATTACCTTTCGAATCTCAGAATACTCCCAGGTACTTAACTACTTTCACACACTTTATATTCAATGAATTAACTATGAGAGTCGGGTTTCTGTCTAACTTACCCTTTAGTAACATCATCTGAGTGTTGTGTGATGCCACCTTTAGACCTTGTCCAGTGGTCCAATTTTGCACCCTATGGATATAATCCACCGCCGCGACCTCTACGATCGTCGGGAGCCTGCTCCAATCATTACAATTAAATCATCGGCGGACGCTAATGCTTTTGTTCCCAATATCAGCACCGCCAGAAGCTCGTCAAAGACCAATTTCCAAAATCTTGAACCCAGCACTGAACCCTGGGGTCAACCCCTTGTGAGATCAAACACCTCCTCCCTAGCATTATTCCTTTGTCGAACGTTTCGGTTAGATCAACATAAGAAGTATGCCTGACGTTTCTTCGCCGGAGTTCTATCAGATTGTTTAATAGCACTCTTAATGCCAGTTTCCAGTTCTTGGGGAAATACCCATTCCTCAAACACCTTAAATAAATGCTTTTATTATAAATAATTACTTCTGGACAGGTTTCTAATGCAAGAACCAACATTTTTGCTCTGACTTATCATTTCCCCACTTATCATTATATTTATGTTTTTATCCTTTCCCCCTTGAGTTATATGCATAATGTTGATTTTCCCTATATTTATTTCTTCCAAACAGGTTTCCCATGTGGAATTTTTCTTTGTAGTTCTATTTTCATCCTTGCTATCAGCATTACTTCGTCTGCATACACTAGGTCAATGGTCTTCATTGGTATTAATTTGTAATTACCTATTGTGGAAGGTCTTGTTCTTGTTTTATACTTCTTAATTACTTGATCCATAGAAATCACACATAGTAATGGGCTCAGGCTGTCCCCCTGTTTCATACCCTTCCCCATATTAAAGTTTTCGGACATGTTTGTTCTTTGTAATTTTTTGTTTATATGTAACGCTCTTAATATGATTTCCTTATTTCGTCTTTTGATACTGTATCAAAGGCTGCTGTTAGGTCCACAAATGCTAGGTATATGTCCTTACCCATTTCCATTGTTTTATCTTCCGCATCAGAACATTATACGGTTGTAGAATACATTATTCTGAAGTGATCGTTCTAATAAAATTTTTTCGAAATGTTTATAACAACCGCACGGGCACTGTTTAAAATTCTCAGCTTTCGTCCAATAACAGACGATTTTGATTCACGAAAAAAGTTTATTTCTCTTTGCGTGTCGAATCTATTGGCTCCATATTCCACATCCACCTTGGATCCGGTTCGAGCCATCCAATCTCCTATTATCATTACATGTTTCACCTTATTCTGTGCTCTTTCCATTGCCATTTGTAAATCCTCGTAAAACTTGTCTTTATCTCTCACATCTGCGTTCTCTGTTGGAGCATATATCTGTATTAGCTCTAGTTTTTCTTCCAATTACATGGTAATAATTCTGGAATTTGTGCCTTCCCAGTTTACTATCTTTTTTTCGATTTCGGTATTCGTTATTATTCCCACTTCCTCTTTGACTCGACTTCCCACCGGAATTCCCGAGTATCTTAACCTATAGTCCTGTCCCATCTTCTTGATCTCACTAATGCCAAGCACCGCCATTCCATATCTCACCATCTCCTCAACCAATTCCTCCTCCTTTCCCGTAAGCGTCTTAATGTTCTATGTTTCAAATCTTAACCTTCTTCTCCATTCTTATAATTCATTAATTCTTCTCCTATCTTGGTAAGTATCAACTTTATAAAAAAACATTTTATACAAAAGTTGTTTAATATTTTGTTCGCCATAATAAGGCATTCAATTGTTTTTATTTCAGAAAACAAATCTCGTCTTCAGACGAACGGCTAAACCCGAATTTTTCTAGTTCTAGGTCTAGTGTTAGTTCTAGTTTTAGTGTAATAAAAATATACAACATAATGATATCTAGCAACATCATGTTTGGACTCATTTTAAAGGTTTTTTAATGAAGATAACAAATATGTCAAAATTGACGTTGACGTTTCAAACCGGAAGTGATTGTATTTCCATTAATATTAAAGTTAAATATGTCGAGTTTGGACTCATTTTAAAGGATTTTTTATGAAGTTGACAAATATAATAATAAAATTAAAATTGACAACTGAAAGTTTTTTTCACGACTTTTTTCTACTTTTAGTTCAATAAAAGTATGCAACATAGTAATATCTTATGCTAACTAGCGCTACCTACCACTACCACTAGAACTAACATTAAACCGAGACCTAGAACCTAGAAACATTCGGATTTAGTCCCACGTCTCTCAAGACGGCTAAACTCTATCATCTCAATCTAAAAATTTATTACTTTTTTTTTATTTAATCCACTTACCATGCTTATAATTTCATCCATTTACTCATTATGAATTAAATATAACCTTTAAATCCAATTAATTTTTAATTTAAAAAAATTCAACGTCAATTTTGACAAGCAACTGCAATATTTGGATCTTAATCACCATGGTAACCGAGTCAAGTTGGATAACCTTAAAATAATAAAATTTTATTGCGGTTTTTTTTATCAATTCTAACCTAATTTTTATTCATTTTAAAACAATTCGAATTCTTTACGATTATCGCGCATTCATAACAAATTCGTTAATTGCAATTAATATAAATCGATTCTAATTAAAAGAAATAAATTAAAAATATCTTTTTTTTTTTATTTAATCCACTTACCTTGTTTATAATACCCTAGATAAACCAAATTTGAGTTAAATACAGCCTTTTAAACCAATTAAATAAGACTTTTTCCTTAAAAAAACTTAAATTCAATTACAATTTTGACAAGTACCTGCAATATTTGGATTTTAATCACCATGGTAACCGAGTCAAGGTAATATTTCGCTTTATATTTTAACATTTATTTAATTTTATTTTATATCTTTTTTTTAATATTTTCATATTTTTGTGTATTGCTTCTTAAGTGAAATACACTGTATAAATAAAAACATAAAAATGTCAAGTCTTATAATGACGTCACAGCAAGGCCTTTGCGGGGGGTACGTTCCTTATACAGTGTTTTGTGTACTTTTCAAAAATTCAATTTTGAAAATATTGGAGAAAATCATTATTTTAAATAATTTAATGTTTCAATTACCTTTCTTGTTTTCATAAATTTAACACAGTTTAGGATAAATGTCAAAAACTGTTTGTAAAATGTCAAAAAGCGGGTTGGTACGAATAATTATCAATAGATGGAACAATTTTAAATTTTAAAAAGAAATTTAAATTTATACTATTATTTATATATTTATCAATTATAAATTTACCGTAAACACAATTATGTATATTTATTCTTGTTATTAACAACAAAAACGATTCCAGTTCGAATTTCCCGCGTACTTACATAAGAAGTGGGGGTAACTTCTTAACCGATTGTAATGTGTATATGATATATCTGTTGTGTGTTTGTTCCATGTAATTTGAATTTACTGCAAATAGTAAATTAGTGATACATTTACTCTAATTAGAACTGAACTAGAAATGGGTGATATGTTAAAAGAGCTACGTGAAAAATCGAAAAAGCGTAAACAACTTTTAGCCAAAACAGTAAACAAACTTAACCTCAATAACTCAACATATAAATTAAATATTAAATACCTTTTTTAGTTGGGGGTTTCAGGAGTAGAGGAGCTTCGCCAAGTTCTTGGAAATTCTTCCGAATCATGCAGCTTTAAAAAAAGCAAACCCAGTGACAATGATGAAAACGAAAACCTTAACGATAATAAACAAGAAATGAGATCATCTTTAGAAGGAGTCGACGAGTTAGTTTATAGAGATTCATCAACATTTCTTAAGGTACAATTCCTTATTTTTTAAAATATGATGTAAGTAAAAGTAAAAACTTTTTGAGAAATACTAAAATGTTTAATTCAATTCAAGCAGACATGTTTCGAAACTAATGTTTCATCTTCAGTACTTAGAATATTATACAATATAATGGAAAAATATTATGTTAGTAGGTGGGGTTCAGGAATAGATCTAATCTCTTAACTTAATTTACAAATAAAAATTAAATTTAACAAAATCAAAAATTAAAAAACTTCAATAATATAGTTAAAATCTTAGAAGGTAACATATCATAGATATGGTAACATATCATTAAGGCCCGGATTTATATGTGTCAAAAATAAGCAATATAAATTTTTTATATGTGTTTAAAATTGGTCAAAATATGCAGTAATATTCTGGAAATATGGACAAATAAAGATTACAAAACAGCATAAAAAGATATTATTTACAACGACAATAGTTATAAATTTGAAACAGTAAAGTTTTCCAATTTTCCAATTTGTTCCATGGTATATTTGATTGTGCCATGGCTTACATAAATCGAAAAAAAAACTCATTTCCACCGATTTGTTGCGATGACTTGGTGGGGAGTTGTTGATAAATGTTGATCAATTTCAAAAAAGAAAAAAAAAGCCTTCAAACTTTAATTTATACGTACTTGTTTGGAACAGGCGTTGCAAAAAACAACTTTCCCGTACAAACAACCAGCTAGTGACTGAGCTGGTTAGATATTTTTATCCACAAATCGGCCTTAGAAGAACCTACTTTGGGCATTATGATTTATTGTTTCTTTAACACATTAACTTAACGTATAAATCACTTGAACACTTGTGTGGCTTGAAATGATTTAGTGGTTATATTACGAAAATCGGATGGGAACCACACAATTAAAGTTATGTTGTAAACCACACCACTGCCGCACTTTTAACTGTCTGTCTTCTACTAGATACCACCAGTATCAAATTAACTGTTGTTATATTGAAATATAGACAAAACATGCGCTCATAGGAAATTACATGCGATTATATCGAACTATATGGATAACTAAATTTATATGCGATAAAAATGCAAAATATGAAGTTATACGCAAAACATGCAAAAGCATATAAATCCGGTCTCTACATATCATAAATAGTAGAAAGTTTTTACTTTTACCTACATCATATTTTATTATATTAGAGAAATATGGAGAATTTCATCCCATTTATCCTTATTTTTTCTTAATACAATTTGTTATTACAAACTAATAAGTGTTTTGAACTCAATAGGGTACTCAATCTTCAAATCCCCACAACGATTATTGTCAGCATTTCGTCGATACCGGTCAGCGCCCACAAAACTTTATTCGAGACGTCGGTTTGGCGGATCGTTTCGAAGAATATCCGAAATTACGTGAACTCATCAAATTAAAAGATGAATTAATCTCAAAAACTGCCAGTCCTCCGATGTATTTAAAATGCGATCTTACTTCGTTTGATTTAAAAACTACATTAACAGCATCGAAGTTCGACGTGATTTTAGTCGAACCACCATTAGAAGAGTACCAAAGAACAACTATGGGAAGTGCGACTAATCGACAATTTTGGTCGTGGGATCAAATAATGAATTTAGACGTTGGTGAGGTAGCGGCGCAACGTAGCTTTATTTTTCTATGGTGTGGAAGTTCAGAGGGCCTCGACATGGGCCGCGTTTGCCTAAGAAAGTGGGGATTTCGTCGTTGCGAGGATATTTGTTGGATACGAACCAACATTAAAAATCCGGGACATTCGAAAAATTTGGAAGCGAGGGCTGTTTTCCAACGTACTAAAGAACACTGCTTAATGGGCATCAAAGGCACTGTACGTAGATCAACCGACGGCGATTTCATTCATGCCAACGTTGATATTGATTTGATTATTTCTGAAGAAACCGAATATGGTAGTTTAGAAAAACCGGTCGAGATATTTCATATAATCGAACATTTTTGTTTGGGAAGGAGGAGATTACACATTTTCGGACGTGATTCAACCATTCGACCTGGGTGGTTAACGTTGGGGCCTGAATTAACTAATTCGAACTTTAATTCAGATTTGTACTGTAGTTATTTTAGCGCTACCAACCTAACGACGGGATGTACTGAACGAATCGAAGCTTTAAGACCGAAAAGCCCACCGCCTAAAGGCAAAGGAAATGCGGGGGGAAGAGGACGGGGTACTTTCACAAGAGGAAGAGGACGAGCTAGATAAAATCTAATTGCTTTTTTTATTATAACTTTTTAAGGTTTTTCAATAAAGTAATGAAATAAATGTTATTAAGCGCCCTTCACACGATCAATATACAGTGTGTCTGTAAAGTAACGGATATAGGTGATAAAATCATTATGAACGGTTTATGGAAAAAATCCTGAAACGGGTCTAAAGATTTAAATTTTTTGCAACTTTTTGGTGTAGGTTTAAAATTCTTTCCGCCATTTTTAACCGAGTTATGACGTCATCGATATTTTTTTCAAATGGCAATCCCCCATTTTTATTACGGAATATGAAAGAGTTTTTTTTTTATGAATCTAGTACAGTCGATATTAATATTGGTTACAGAAGAAAATTTTCGAAAAAAAATACTTTAAAGTTTAATTACTTCAAATTCGTTTGACATGAAAAAATAGCAGTAGCCATGAATAACAATCGGGTTAATTACAAATAAAATTAATAAATTAAATGGAAGAAGTCCAGCGTAGTCAAATCAAGTGATCTTGCAGGCCATTCAATTGGCCCTCTTCTCCCAATCCATTGATTGGGAAATAATTGATTTAAATATGCACGAACAGGAACCGCATAGTGTGGCGGCGCGCCATCTTGTTGGAAAAACAATTGCCGTTGAAATCGACTTGGGTCAACATCATCGGAAAATCTGGCCGTTATGGAAGGAATGAGATCTGTTTGTAGAAAACCTAAATATCTCTCTCCAGTTAAGGTTCCCTCAAAAAATTAAGGGCCAAGGATAGTATCCTGTACTATTCCTCACCACAGATTAATCTTTTGCGGATATTGAGTATGCGATTCTCTTGCCCAATGTGGATTTTGGGTAGCCCAATACCGACAATTTTGCCCACTCAATCTAAATGTTGCCTCATCGGAAAAAATTATGTTTTTAACGAAATCTTCGTCGTCGTTGCACAATTGTTGCAACTGCTCACAAAATTGTGATCTTCTATCAAAATCATCTTCATTGAGCTCATGAATGAGGTTTAGCTTATAGGGTGAACCGTTGTTTTTTAATGGCCAGATTCGACCCAATATCCCTTACCGCAGGGCCCGCTCTAGGGGCGGACCATCAGGACATTTGTCCGGGGCGGCAGCTTTAAAGGGCGGCATTTTGACTCAGAATGTGATAAAATTTTGATAATCGAATTTTTTACTTGTCGATTTTCTACCAATGGAGAGCATGTTGTAAGAGACTGGCTAGTATACTCTATTTCAAAAAACTGTATTTATTGCTTTTGCTGTAAAATTTTCGGTACAAGGGTTTCAACAACGGTTTTCAAGGTACAAGAGATAAACTATTTGAGCATAATAATGGTAACTTCCTAAAAATAGTTTAACTACTGTCTAAATTTCTTCCCATTATGGAAGAACACGTGCGAAGGGCACTGAAAAAAGAGGAGATAAAAGCCCACTATCTCGGTAAAAATATACAAAACGAGATAATAGACTTGTTGCATCAAAATGTGAAGTCTCATATTATTAATGAAATAAAAAAGGCCAAATATTATTCTATAATTTTAGATTGCACTCCTGACGTAAGTAAGGTGGAGCAAATGACTCTTATATTCCGTTATGTTACAGTCAATAAATCTGATTTCAATGACGCTGAAATAAAAGTTAATGAATGTTTTTTGGGTTTCCTTCCAATTGAAAAGTCCACAGGAAAACAAATGACTGAAATCATAATTGAAGAACTTACTAATATGGGTTTAAACTTGCAAGATGTTAGAGGACAGGGATATGATAATGGATCTAATATGAAAGGCGATAAAGCTGGAGTGCAATCTAGAATTAAGAATTTAAATTCACGAGCGTTTTACGTTCCGTGTAGCAGTCATTCTCTGAATCTAGTGGTTAATGATATGGCAAAAGCTTCTTCGGTAGCTAATTTCTTCAATATAATCCAGAAACTATATTTTTTTTCATCATCTACGTTTCGGTGAGCAATACTTTTGAAACATATTAAAGGATTAACTTTGAAACCATTGAGTGCCACTAGATGGGAGAATAGGATAGAGGCCTTAAAGACTTTACGATTTCAAATAGGAGAAGAATACGACGCAACAAAAACTTGGTACAAAATCTTAAACTGCATTAATCCTATAAGCAAACTAATGCAAACAAAAGATTTCGATCTAGCATCTGCACTTGACCTCTTACAAAATTGCAAAAAATTCTTTAAGGATCTTCGATCGGACAAGTCTTTCAATGAAAGTATAATTGATGCAAGAGAACTGGCTGCCGAAATTGACATTGAAGCTAATTTTGAATCAACAATTCCACGACACCGCATACAAAGAAAAAAAAATATTTTCTCATACGAATCTCGAGATGAACCGATTGAAGATCCCAAAGAAAAATATCAGTACAGTGTCAGCCAAAAAGTTTGTATCAATAAATTAGCTATATATTTTTGATAGCATAGCTTTATATGTTTGATAGCATAGCTTTATATGTTTGATAGCATAGCTTTATATGTTTGATTATTTGATGCCGACTTTTTGGAAGGCATTATATGTTTAAAGGGCGATAGTTTGTCTTTTTGTCCGGGGTAATGTAAATGCCAAGGACGCTGCTTACCGTAATATGAGGGTTTTCTTGCACAGCCATAACAACGTTATATTGAGCCTCGTCTAAAACATTTGGTCGGCCAGACTTCGAGAGATCCCGTACATGCCCATGATTTTTAAATTTAGTGACAATGCGGCTTACCGTACTTTGGCTTATGGGTTCATGGTCAGGATATGTTGCATTAAAGAGCTCTACTACTTCTTTTTGAGTTCGAGTTCGATCCCCAATTCCAATGAAACACAGAATTTCTATTCTTTCCGCTCGGTCAAACGGACCATTTTAATAAATTAACAACGAAAACAAATAAAAGTAAACAATAAACAAAAATTAACTCAAAAGTGATGTAAGAATAGTTTAAACAAGTGCTATAAGAAACAACAAGCTTTACTAAATTAGTGTTTGACACTTATAAAACTTAGAGAATTGTTTAAAATGATTGGTTACCATAGTTACTCATGGCTACTGCTATTTTTTCCACGTCAAGGAAATTTGAAGTAATTAAACTTTAAAGTAATTTTTCTCGAAAATTTTCTACTGTAACGAATATTAATATTGAGTGTACTAGATTCAGAAAAACATCTTCTTTCATATACCGCAATAAAAATGGGGGATTGCCATTTGAAAAAAATATCGATGACGTCATAACTCATTTAAACATGGCGGAAAAAATGTGTAATCTACACCAAAAAGTTGCAAACCCAACCCAACCCCTCTCAGGGATTTTTCCATAAATCGTTCATAATGATTTTATCGTCTATATCCATTACTTTACGGACACACTGTATATTGTCAATATGGCCAATAAATATTGACAAACTGTAATTGCCTCAGACTATCAATATTTATTGACAATCTACTTAGTTTTGCGTTGGCAGTCAAAGATGTCATACCGTGAAAAAGCTAGTGCAGCTATTATTTTAGCTTTAACAATAAAACGCCGGAAGAAAAAGAGAATATGGGCTAAGGAATGGCTTCTAAAGAGAGACACGTTTTCTCAAATGAATTTGTTGAATGAGGTTCGCGTATCTACTCTAAAAGATTTTCAAAACTTCTTTCTTTGTAGCTTTCAATGAAATTTAATAATAACGCATACCGATTTCCATGTGTTGATGAACCATCCGGGATTAATAGCACTTTCCTCCATTAAAGTATATCTGTCTGAATTCATTATTACGCGATATAATCTGTAATATAATCCTATTAACGTAGGATTGTCAATATCTCCCTCAGACTGTCAATATATCAAATATTTTCGTTTTCGTCAAACCATCCCATCAATATTTTTAATATTGACAATCTTTCTAGTCACACGTTCAATAATATTGTCAATACTCAGATATTGACAATACATATTGATCGTGTAAAGGGCGCTTTAGAAACATATTGTATAATCGCGAACTCGGAGTTTAAAAAAATGATTACCATTACCAGTGAGGAGATGATCAGTGAGGTCCTACTTGAAATCCATAAACAGAACCAGTTCAAAGTTGAGGCCATCAGCGCAAATGTGGTGAAACCCACATTTTTTGTTGTTTGCTGTTCTGGTGTTACATACATTCCTTACATTACTAACTATCAATACAAAACTAGAGTAAGCCACCTTTTGATATTCAAAAGCAGATGGAGCTGAAAAATCGTTTTTGCTAAAGTCCCTAAATTTACAAAGTACCGCGGTTCATGACGCCTGTTTTCCAGCCAAAATGGCAATTTGACAACTTGTCACTGCATCTCACCTCTTATTTACAAAAATATTGCCGTCTTGTTGCCTTTGGAGTTGCAAAAATAGCAGTAAGAAGGACTTTCGACTCTTGAGAGTACCACGAGAAAAAAGAATGGAGTTTTGGCGTAATATTAGCTAAAATGGCGTCAAACCGCGGTACTTTGTAAATCTAGACCTTTAGTTTTTGCTAAAGTTCCTAGACTTACAAAGTACCGCGGTTCATGAAGCCACATAATTTCTGAGCAATATTGTTTTTTATACGTGCTTTACCTGTTGTTTGTTTCAAGTATGAGCGATATATAATTGGGTTGTGCGTCACAGGGGGACCACCAAACCGAATGTCCAGAGGACGTGTTGCACTTTGTTATTGAAGTGGAAGTGTAAACTCTCCCCCACGGTGTTTTGGACCTAGAGTCACATCATCTACGTATGCCAATTTTACGCTAGTTGTATCTGGTATGTCCAATGTAGAGAATAAAGAGTTGGCGTAAGAGCAAATCCCTGGGATAGTCCGTAATTAATTTTTTTGTGTGGCTTTGCGTTTATTCCAAATTAACCCGCAAGAACCTATGACTAAGCATGTTATTCAGCAGCAAGCCCAATATCTTACAACGAATTAGATGTCTTCTTCCGGTTCTGAAATCCAACCTCGATATAAGTCTAAAGGCTGAGAACCTGATCCACTTGATGGCTGTCCGTTCGATTAGGATATGCTCTATAATCTTATCACCAAGTCGGTTTAGAATAAGGCGTTCTAGGAGTTTAAAGCAAGCGCTTAGTAGAGCAATGGGTTGATAGCTACCAGCAAGATCCACCAGCTTCTCCGGTTTCAGGATGGAGATGATCTTTGTCTTCTTAAATTCCTTTGGTATAAAGCCGTTTTGCAGACTATAAGAGTAAAATGTAGCTTCTAATTCCTGGAAAACCGGCTGCACTTAATCAGGAACTTGTTATGGTGCGTCGCAGCGCGGGGCTTTGTCAATTTTCATCTGTTGAAGTGTGCTGGAGACTTCATCAGCATTCCCGGTTTCGAGAAGTCGGATCTCTGTTGGCAGGGTGTCTTTATCTCTTTCAGCTCCCTCTTAATAGTCTGATGTGATCCTTATCTTTGGGAGCTCTTGGCGCTAGTTGGCCGAAATGAGAGTTTTCATCTTAACAATTGGACTTTCCTCTAGCTTCTTTAATAGAGCCCAGACCTTTCTGTCGTTTTTTTAAGTGTTTGAAATCCATAATATCTGTTGTTTGGGACCATTTCTCCCTACGGGCAGCATCCAGAGTGAGGAGTACTTCTTCACTTATTTCGGCGCCACGACTATCAAGAAAGTCCTGATATTATCTTCCGCTCTCAATATTCTATCATGGTATATAGTCCTTGCAGAAGCCTGTAAGGATGTGCCTTTTGGCAGACGAAATGGCAGCTCCAACAATTCCGTTGTAGTGTTTATATGTGGGAGGTATCCATATCAAACGTTTGTCAAGGTGTCTTGCGACGCTTTTGAAAAATTTCATCTATAGCTGGGAAAGGATCTTATTACCGGAATTTGAGTACCCAACTAGACAAGGATTGGTCTATATTGGCTTTTTAGGGAAGTCCTTGAGGATGTATCTTTGAGCTTGGATTCGTTGTGAGAAGCGCAAGTCGGGGTTGTAATCCTTGTTCCAAACCTTTGATTTGAACGAACTCCTCTCATTAGCATCGAATAAAAAAATTAATTTTATAATGTTTTCAGCAAACTAGTCGTGCAACTTCTCGCTATTTGTACCGTTCTGTTGGTATATCCACTCACCATTGTGGCTTTTAAAGTCGTAGCTGGGTATGAGTAACATGGCTGCACACCTTCACATTGATTGAATGGATATAATTTTTTGTGGATGTGGATACAGGATTTATGTTCTCAATGTTGTTGAAAAATTATTCCAATAATATCATATTTTTGCTTATTCTGACCTGCTCATCATTTTCCAAGTGTGATTCTTGTATTAGGAGAAACTCCACAACATTCTCCTTTAACTGGTTTATTTAAGTATTGAGACTAGGATCTCTCTAATGCCCTCAATGTTGGCATATTCAGATATATTGTCCAATGTCCTTTTTCTTACAAGGGGTAGTCTCCTTTAGTGTCAAGTTATCCATATGTAGGTTAATAAGAGATAAGCTAAAATTGCATCCCAACAAGACACAATGTTGCAGTCTCCTCAACCACAAATTCAAGTTCAAACAAATTTTTATTTATCAAAATGAAAAAAGTAGAAACAATACAATTCTTATATACTAAAATTTCAAATATTTTAATTCATTATTTTCACACTGTTTTATCTTCTTTAGACAATCATTGAAGATATCACTTTCAATGGTCTCAAAAGTTCGATTACCATTAATGTGCGTGAAACCAAACCTAGATGATAACTTTTTGTATTCATCTAGCACTTTTTGTTGCGTTTCGTAATTCTCGTAGCGTTCATCTCCGAATCCAGGGCGACTTTTGATATCATCCAAACTCATATCGAGAAAATAAACAACATCCGGATGGTATAAACCTGATTCCGGAGCTTCACACCATTTTGTATCCATCCCTAAATAAAAATGTAGTATCAATAAATCAGTTTTGCTTTAAGTATATGCTAAATTGAATTTAAAATACCTTTCTTTATACTTGAATAAACTATTCCTGAGAATGAATATCGATCAACAATCACATTAATCTTGTTGTTAAGCATCTCTGTGATTTCTTTGATTTTTTCGAAACGATTCGCTGTAAACAATAAATGTAACACCCTATCATCTAAATCAAACGCTTTATTGCTCAAATACTGCTTTATAACAGATCCAATTGGGGTTGATCTATCTGGAAATGTAACTAACTCCGCTTTATGTCCCGCATTTCTTAAGTTTTCCACCAATTTTTTTGATTGACTAGATTTTCCGGAGCGGTCTAAGCCCTCGAAAACTACAAGTATACCACGTGGAAACCTTGACATTGCTTTTTAGTTATATGTTAAGTATAAATAAAAATTAATGAAATTGTAAATTAAAGTAAACAGTAACATAACCTATACGCCATGCTTAAACGCAGTATTGCCAACCACGTTCCGTTATCTCCCTATATGTTGCTATATGTATTCGTTGATGCATTGTCTTTAAATATTAATATTTACATATTAATATTAAATTTAATATTAAATATTAATATTTAAAGACAATGGTTGATGCTATATTTAGTTCATCTTTCACCACCCGTGGCGCTAAAACACCGCGCGCGCTGTTTTACCGACTGGAAAGAACTGTCAATTTTAGTTAAATTTGAATTGTCAATTTCTATTCCGTTTTGTTCCGTTTTTAATCATAATTATCTCAAAGATCCAGAGGTATGTATCAATTTATATACATTTAATATTTAACAAAGGCCTTTTTCTTTCAGTTATTCAAAACGTGGTTATCCGCTGTTGGAAGGTTGGATTTGTCTAATATTCCAATGGCAAATGTACGAAGGAGTTATAAAGTTTGTCAAATGCATTTTCCTCCAAGCCAAAAATGTACAATGAATCGAAATACATCTAATTTAAAGAAGACTGCAGTTCCTAATGTTCATTGTAACAATATAAAACTTTTCTCCGCCATATCTAATGAAAATGTTATATTTTAGTGCCAAAGGGATTCTTCAAACGTACAGACAAACACTTTTTGATTGTTTTCCATGCAGAAGTACAAAAGCACCAGGATCCACTAGTGGATGAAATTGATCAACCGCATCTTCTTTCATTAGAGTAATTCAATTTATTTAGTTCAAAAATACAGCACAAAATAAATGTACAAAAAAGAGATAAAAAAAAACAAAAGATGCAAATCCAAAGAGACAAATATCAACTAATTTTCATACAAGCTAGTTTATTGGTCGATCTAAATGTTAAACACACTTGATGATCTTCTAGCAAATACTATACATATTATATTACAGGCGATCTAATTTGTCCAAGCACTCTAAAAATGAAAATTTAACCTTCTTCTTAGAAGAAGAAATGCTAGAAAGCATTTCACAGGATTTTTACTGTTGGTTCGTATCCAACAAATGTCCTCGCAACGACGAAATGCTGGAAGAAGATTATTGGGACGAAGTTCCCTTGTCTGAAATAAGGCGCTTTATATGAAACCGCGATAGATATGCACTGTTCATTTGATGATTATATAAATATCGATGATGGACGTTCCAACAAAATTATTTTAGACAACGTTATGAGAACTTCAATTCCATATAAAAACGGTATGTGGATGTAACTTTTAGGAAATCCGCTAGTATAATCTGTTACAAATGTTGCAATAATAATAGGCTTGCTTTAGTTCTGTAGTTCAAAACCGCGCGGAACTACAGAATCAAACCACATAGACTCAGGCTCAAAAATTACAGACTCTTGAACCAAAACAAACCTAATGTTCTTATTGTTTCAGAATTAGATGAGGGTGATGATAATCTTGAAAATGAAGTATTTATCGCTGTGCCTACGTTTGATGAAGCTTATTCCTTTCTTGAAAGCTAGAAACCTTTGTATTGTCAAAAGAGAATGTTCCAGATAATATTCATAATTCTCTACATTTCATAGAAGATTTTTTCGACAAAGAGTCGTTGTGCGCTTTAAGCCAAAAGAAAATTAGGGATTATTTTAAAAAAACTTATTAGTTTTCTACTTACAATAGTATTAAGATTTCTATTTTAAATATTCGTATTAGAAAAGTACATTTCTAATTTTTTTTTAGAGCTGAAATGCTACTAATTTCTATAACTCGAATTCTCTATAACTCGAAGTTTATCAGTCTATCAGCTATCTAGCTATGTCATCACTATTTTTATTTATTTTTTGCCTACCTTCTTTTAAGTAAATATTAATCGGAATTTGATATTAACGTGTGTAACATATAAATGAAACAACCAGAAGGTAAAACATCTTCCGTATCCAGCATTGTTGGGAACTCTAAATATACCTGCATCTCAGTCTTCAACGTTTCAAGACATATATCGAGACGCCCAGTATTACTTCAAAAGAGCTAACCTGCCCGACCTATACAGCGCAATGTTGAATATTGATTGGAATTACTTGCTGTCTTTATCATTAGTTGAAGTCTCCTGTGATGTTTTCTATACAACATTATATAGTGTCTTGGATGCGTATGTTCCAAAAACCAACGGAAAACACATAAAAACTAAATATCCTTTGTGGTACTCCTCCACCTTAAAACGAATGCTTAAACAAAAAAAACATTACCACAAATTATCTAGAGGAACCAATAACTCCTTTTATCGAATAAGATATGTCCGTCTCCGCCGGGACTGTAAAACACATATGCGTGAGGACCGTCGAGAATACGTAAGATCTTTGGAACAAAAAATAAAGAAAGACCCAAAGAGTTTTTGGAGATTTGTTAATTTGACCAGAAACAGTGCTGTCTCACCAAATATTCTCAAACACGATGGTGAAACTTTTTCCGATCTGCAGACTGTGATTAATTTGTTCGCCCATCATTTTGAGAGTATATATCTTCCGGCTCCTGATGTCAGTCCTAACGGTGGCCAAGTTGCTGATGGATGGGATGGCGTTTCTTTCGGCATCTCAGAAGTAAGCCCTGATGAGATGGTGGAAGCTTTTAAAAAATTTAAGGCAAAAACTACGACTGGTCCAGATGGTATCCCCCAAATATATAGTCAAAGACTGTGCGCCTGTATTATTACAGCCTCTTCAGCATATTTTCAATTTAATGATCAAAAATTCTGAATTCCCAAAAATTTTGAAATTGAGCAGAGTTTGCCCTGTTTTTAAGAAAGGTGATAGATACTGCGTAACAAATTATCGATCTATAGCCATCATAAATAATTTTTCCAAGCTTTCTGAGCAGATTGTAACACGCAAAATCGAATTTTACACTAAGGCCCGTATATCTGACCAACAACATGGGTTTTGCAAAGGTAGATCCACAGCCACCAACCTACTCAGTTTTACTCAGTACGTATCGAATACATTAGATTGTCGAGAGCAGGTGGATGTGATATACACCGACTTTTCTCGGGCTTTTGATTGCTTGGATCATGATTTGTTGGCCGAAAAGTTGTGGAGATTTGGATGTGATCACTTTCTCACACGACTCCTAGTATCGTATGTATCCAATCGCAGACAATACGTTGAGTTAAGTGGTATGAAGTCAAGACAGATTCATGTTACTAGTGGCGTACCCCAGGGATCTATACTTGGCCCTTTGCTGTTCAACATCTATATAAATGATTTACCTGCGATTTTCAACACGAATTCACTCTTATACGCAGACGACCTGAAACTATTTAGATCTATTAGTTGTGAGCAGCACTGTGAATCACTCCAGTTAGATTTAGATAAACTTTATTCATGGTGTTCTGAGAACAAATTAGCTTTAAATACTCTTAAATGTCAGGTAATGACATACAGTCAAAAACGTAATACCATACTTTTCGATTATGTGCTTGGAGTGGATCACTTGTTGCGTATCTCAACAGTAAAGGATCTTGGAGTGTGGTTTGATGGCACTTTGTCCTTCAATGAACATATCGACAGAACATCGGTTGGTGCCCTCAGAACGTTGGGGTTTATCACTAGAAATACGTTGGAGTTTACGAATTTAAAAACAATAATAGATCTTTATTCTACGCTGTTACGGAGTAAACTTGAATATTGCTGCATTGTGTGGACCCCATCTTATTTAACGCACATTGCCACCATCAAGAAAGTACAGAGGAAGTTCATTAGGTTTATCCACTACCTCGATTCTGGGTATTATCCACCTAGAGGAGAACTAAACTATATAAATCTGCTACAACGATATGGCCTCCAGAGCCTTGAGGACCGTAGAAGATTGTTGTCTGCGAGGTTTGTGCGCGGTGTGATGTCGGGTGTGCTAGTTGCATCGGAAATACTAGCTCAATTGAATGTGAGGGTGCCGCGGATAAATGCGCGAGTTTATAGTGCCTATATGCCAAATCGTGCTAACACCAATGTTGGGCTAAACTCTCCAATAAACAAACTAATACGTGCAGCAAATTCGGTCGAGTGACAGCTTGTTCTTGATTTTCTTTTTTTGTTTATCTTTTTTGTTTTTTTTTTATTGTTTGTCTTATTTCATCTTTTCTTTTAGAATTGATTATTGTTGATTTATATAATATTATCTCTTTATTGGATTGTAATCCGTTGGGATAATAAAGAATATTATTATTATTACCATTACACGTTAAAGGACAGGAATAACAGAAAGGAAAAATTAGCAGCGCCGGGACTACCTTCTGGTTGTTTCATTTTTTTAAGTAGTTTTTTTTTAATTTTTTAGATATAAATACCTTGTTTTTTGAATTATATAGTTTTTTTTTGTTGCAATCAAATGTAATAATAATAAGAAATAATAATAATAACACTTTTCTTCCTTACTTTTTTTTAACTTCATTTTTAAACATAATTTTTTTCTCATAATTACCTAATATTTAAAGCGCTCATTTTCAAAACATTGTGTTGTTTATTTTTACTGCTCCGGACACTTTTGTATAGTTGCGTACATAACAAGAGCAGCATTTTTTGTTGTCCTGCACCTATATTGTGTTTGAATGCTTGGAACAACGCGGCTTATGCAGAGATTCACTCCATAAATGGAATAAAGCCCCGAACCCCATGTGGGATTGCAGTAGAGAACTAAACCATTGAAAATATTGTCAATAACTGCGAAATATAGGCATATCTTAGATGATTTCTTCAACCTTTATGTTAACTATGTATATGTGTTATATTTTGTTTTATACTCTATACATGTTATGTCTTAAGGTGGCTACACACGTAACTGCAAACTTGACAAGCATACATGATCAATATTTTTGTCCCTTCGACACCACACGATACAAGTATGCTTGAACAAGCGCCAATTTAGGCTTGGACTATGTTGAGACGACGATGCGCTCGCACTGGCTGCTTTTTGTCTTGTCCATAAGAGGAAAACGCGGAAGAAGAAACGTGATATATGATGTAAAAAGTGGTTATTGAAAAGATAACATACTCCCATATTAATTTACTGAGTGAATTGAAGTTATATCCACGTGCCTGGCATAATTATCTCAGAATGAACGAAGAAACTTATATGAACCTTCTGTAACTTGTAGCACCTTTAATTAAAAGAAAGGATACGATCATGAGAGAAGCCATAACCCCCCACGAAAGAACTAAACTCTTAAAACAAAAAAATATTTCAAGAAATACATTTAAGAATAAATTTTTCTTGAAAATCAAGAATAATGTCCCTCAATGCGGACTCAGATTACGACTCCTACTATTATTGGCAAATATCCCTACATATTTCATAAATTAAAGAAAACCTCCCTACGCCATTTTTAGGCTGAAAAATCCCTACACATAAGGAGAAGTCACTACGTCTCGCCACATGTCAAGTAGTGTGCTTGGTACACACGTGCGGTTTCGCTTGCGCAAGCTGATTAAAATTCAATCCATCATCAAGCAGATTGCACAAGCAAAATATTTGTGCAAAATTATCCTACAAATGCTAAAGCATACTTGTACAAAAAGATTGATCATGCATACTTGTCAAGTTTGCAGTTACTTTATGCTTTGTACTTATACTGTCATAACCATGTGTAGCCATATGATAAATGAAAAAATAATTGAAAAGAATAAAATAAAACAGAAACTATCCCAGACCTGACTTTTTGTTTATTCGTTAACAACTAGCATATACATTTCTTACAAAAGAGACAAGAAAAATAAAACAGTTGTTTACATTTTTACCACACTTGTATTTTTCTTGTTTATTTTATCGGCGATATATATCTGCCCCATTCACACTCACGCACTTATAATTATTTTAATCACTCAGTTCGTCGCACAAAATGCCAGTTATTACTTCATTAAAAGAGAACAAAAAAGACGGTTGCTACACGCATATTTTCATTATTACAGTTAATTCCGGATATAAAGCCGCAAAAATCAGTTCAGGACAACCCGAAATTTTATTATATCCAGACTTGACTGTATTCATCAACCGGTAGTTGTGATAACAATATGAGTTAGTCTTCTTTGTTGTTGTTTGCCTTTCTTTAATTTCGTTTTTTTATAAGAGAATATTTGATGATGATAATAATTCGTAATAATAGTAATCCTAACCTATAATTCTTAGCCATCTACACAATCTTTCAACTCATAGAAAATTCTTCGAATTTACTTACAAAAAATTCTTTACAAACAAAAATGAATATGTTAATTATCAAAAATTCTTAACTGCATATATAACTTTGTAATGTATTATATCAAAATTTTTTCCCCAAGGATTAAGTTATGTAGTTAAGAGGTTTTAAACATCAACACAGTATACAACAAATAATTAATGCCATTTTTGTGCCTTATTTTCGAACAACGGCAAAAAAATCCGAAAAGATTGTATCATGTTGCTTATTATTATTTTAATTTATGCTTTTTTCGTTGATGTTTTATGAGATTATCTAAAACAAAAAATTGATTATATCTCCAAAAAACTATCGTTTTCGAGATGTTATTAAATCCTTCATTACGCATCCCTAAATGCGTATTTATAGGATACGTAATGAAGTGTATCATTAAACGTCTAGAAATTAATAAATATGACACAACAAAAACATAAGAAATGGTATTAACATTGATAATAAATTACCAACAATAATTTCTAGACGTTTATTATAATCTTTTTCCAAAGTTTATTCAATTTCTTCTTTCATTCAATCTTACATACTGCAATTTAATATTCAAATTAAAAAAAAAATGGAAATATTGTCTCGTAAATACTTCTTTTTTGTATAGAAAAAAGTCGGAAAATATCACATATACTTTTTTTTTAGTAATAATAATTATAATAATAATGACAACAATTTTTATTTATTCTTTTCTTAGAGAGGACATTTTTATTTACATATTTTTCACTCTCCACCGTTTTTAAACATAGGTTTAAAGTAAAAATTACAACATCTTAAGCAGCTACAAATTGATTAAAACAATTTTTCGTTTAAGCACAAAATCAACGTATTTTTAAATCATATTGTAGTCCTTATAACTCAAATTTTATTGAAAATTCTTGCTTAAGTGTCTCATTATTGTTATATATTATTAAAAATTAAGTTTTAATTTAATTTCTACAACAATGCTTAATTCATTTTATATCAAATTCTTAATTAAGCATAAATTTTATTACTTTAAATGACAAATTATGACACATTGTTCAAAATTTATTTCAGAATCATTTCAAAATGTTTACTTAAAACGAAAATTTTTAGATAATAAAGCTATTTGTGATTACAAATTGAGTAATTTTAACCAATAGTTGTTACACCTTGGCCTTCATACTTGATTCCTTGGTTTTAAGTATTAATGAAAATGTGCTTTTAAAAAGTGGATAAATCAAATTTATAACTGCTTAGGATTTGAAACACAAAAAAAATTAGCTAAATTTTTGTGGTTGTGATGATGTTTTTTTTTTTATAAAGGACAGTTTTGTTGTCCTGGTTATTAAAGTAAACTAAAAGAACTAAGGAAATATCAAAATTATTATTTTTCCTCCTTTTTTTTTCTATTTTATTTTCTTAATTTTAGACGAAATTGAACAAACGCTTCAAAATTTATAAACCTTTATACAATCACTAATTTTAAGTTTTTGTATTTGTCAACGTATTGGTAATAATAATAGTCCTATCATCATCATCATTTTTATTTATTTTTTCCCTACCTTCTTTTAAGTAGTTTTTTTTTTTAATTTTTTAGATATAAACACCTTGTTTTTTGAATTATGTAGTTTTTTCTTGTTGCAATCAAATGCAATAATAATAAAAAAATAATAATAACACTTTTCATCATCTTCTTTTCTTCCTTACTTTTTTTTAACTTCATTTTTCAACATAATTTTTTTTTTCTCATAATTACATAATATTTAAAGCGTCCATTTTCAAATGTGTTGTTTATTTTACTGCGACGGATACTTTTGCATGGTTGCATACATAACAGGAGCGGCGTTTTGTTGTTGTCCTGCACCTTGACCAGCCCCCGCTGTCGCCGTCGTTGTCCATTGGCCCCCTTGTTGAGGTACCACGCAGTATTGTTGTCCGGTTGCGGCTGCTGCATAAGGGTATTGATAAGCAGCATAACCTTGCATGTACCCTTGGGGGTAACCCTGAGGATACCAATATTGTCCATAACCATACGGATATTGTGTTTGAATGCTGTTGTTAACTCCAACTGGTTGAATGGAATTTTCGGGAGTATTCGCACTGGAAGTAGCTGTTATATTACTAACATTTGAAGTGCTATTTATTGGAGCGCTCCCGCCGTTTTCCTTCCCCCAAAAACACTTAACTACTTGGCCATTAACAGGCGTGTTGTGAACGTTTTCAATGGCGTGAGTAGCGGATTCTTTATTTTCGAATCGAATAAATGCGTAACCTTTATCTTTAAAAACTCTGATATCTTGAATAATACCGAATCGAGAGAACGTTTTTTGCATTAATTCTTCGGTAATACCATTAACAAACCCCCCACAATAAACGGTACAATTTGTTGGAGAACTTTGATTATAAACTTCTTCAAACGTTGGTTGTTTACCTTTTGTTAATGTCAACTTTTCGCTCCTCGGCGGTGGAGGTTTCCGCGTGGACCAATTCGTACGGATCGATCTTGAACCTAACCATTGTCCATTCATAGCTTGGATCGCGTTCTCCGCTTCGGCTTTTTTTACAAAACTAACAAAAGCGTAACCCTTCGATTTCAACGTTTGCGGATCCCTAACTATTCTACAATTTGAAATTTCGCCAAACGGTGCGAAAGCCTCTCGTAATGTCTCCGTTTCGATCTCTGGCGATAAATCTCCAACGAAAATGTGGTGGTGATTGGAAGTATCGGTTTTCGGCTGGTTCCCGGGACTCGTGGCCCAATTCACTTTCATTTCTTTATCGAGAAACACACGTTTGTTCATAGCAGCCAAAGCTGTTGATGCAGATTGATGGTTGGTGAATTCTACGAAAGCGTACGGATCGTTGCCGGGTTCACGTATTATTTTGCATCCTTTAACGGGGCCTATTTGCGAGAATAACGCGCAAAGTAAATCCTCCGAAACGGATCCATCTAAATTGCCTACATATAAAGTTTTTGGTTGGCTCTCATCCGACATTTTGACGCCGGGAAATGACACAAAAAACTAACCGCACTGGTTTATAAATGAGTTTTGTGGATTTTTATAAAGCTTTTACACATTTAAAATAACCAATTGGGCGTCAACTATTCATAAATCGACGTCGAAGCACGGTCGAAAACACTGAAAACTCCCGAGATGATGTCAAAAACTATGGCCACTTTCTCTTCTTATTATTTTGACGTTTGCTGGTTTTGACATCAAACGTCACCCAACATCAACCGCTTTTCTCAACCGCTTTACTACAACAACAAAAATAACGATTACTTTTTCCTATTAATTTTTAAAACAACCCTAAAAAACATACTTTGTACTTTAATCTAAAAAATCGTCGTTTTTATCACAACGTTTAACCCGACTGTTTACATTGGCCAACCTGATGAATTGACAAAGAAAACGCACGAATTTCACGTCTTCATTAACTCAACAATAAAAACTCAATTTTAAAACCTCAAAAACTTAAAATTTAAATTTTCTTACATTTATTAATTTTCATTTAATTTGTTAAAAACAAATTTTTATATAAAAAAAAATTAAATTTTATATTGGCCAACCTGTTACTTATATGTCACTTTAATCCTACGTTGACAAAACAAAGTAAACATACGTGATACAAAAAAGTGAGGTTAAGTTATTTAATAATAAGTTGATAAAAAGAATATAATTAATAATTAACATGAATTTAATAAAATGATCGACCAAGAAAGCCCGCAACAGCGTCAAAAAGAGGAGTTTGAAGTGTTAAAATCGATGTACCCAAATGAATTGGTCGATTTACGTAAAATTAGCGCAAAAAATAAGTGGAAACCGCTAAATTTATCGTTAACGTTGTTGCCATCGCAAGGAAACGATCCGACGAAAGTCTACGCGAAAGTTAATCTTCACATAAGTTGTTCCAACAAGTATCCTGAAGTGTAAATATAAATATGATATAAAAATATAAATAAAGGTATTAATAATAATAATTTAGAGCGCCTAAAATTGAATTGGATCAAAATGGGGGATTAACTAAGGAAGAATTAAACATATTACAAAATGAACTTGAAAATTTGGCCCATTCTAAAATTGGGGAGGTTATGATTTTTAATTTAGCCGAACATGTGGAGTCTTTTTTAGATTCGCATAGGAAACCGTTAAGTAAAAGTTGTTATGATGAAATGGTTACTAGGCAGAAACGGAAAGAAGAGGAGGAAAGGCAAGCTTTGGAAAGAGAAATGGATAGAGAGGTAATAATATTTATTTATAATTACCTGTAGATAACACAGAGTAAACTGATTCTGCAGCATTTATTAGTCAATTTTAGGAAATTTTGGTCTCTTGAATACAAAAATAATAAAATCTTTGTTGAATTGACTACTTTTTAAGATAAACTGGAAATTAAATTTTAAAAAGAGGAATATTTTTAAAACGGTTATTTTATAAATGATACAAAGAATAATAAAATTAATCATAAAAAACAAAAATATGTCAATAAGAGTTAAGAAAAACGTTTTCTATGGAATTTTCTATGCTGTTTTTGATCTGGATGGTCTCCTTGCAACTTCCAGCAGTAGTCTGCCATCATATGGACATAGGGGACCCAACAGCCTCGATATCTTTCCTCCGTAACCTTGATGTCTCATATTAGCTCCTAATTTTTGGAAATTCTGGAGCATTTTGTCTGCTACTTTGGAAGATTCTTTAGCTTTATGATTCCCCAAACAAATTTTTGACAACTGATACAAAGTTTGTCCATCCTTCCAAGTCATCTTAAGTCGTGTGGTTTCCAAAATAATCATTATAAGAGTACAGATTTGCGGCCCATCAAAAATTCCATTCCTCTTCAATACTGAGACCAGGAAATAAATGACAAATATATTTGAAGCAATGGCCATTCCTATCTAAAGCTTTAAGAAACTTTAGGATACTAAAGACGTTGTGTTACAACTCTTTAAGGGGGGAGTCTCTTTTTTTTTCTATTAAATAAAGTGATATCTTTCGGAATTTTTGGCTGACAAACTATGTGTTCTTCCAATTTAATCTTTTACCTAAGTTTAGAACATATATTTATTTATTTAAAAACACATTTGTTTATCAGAAATAACGCCTACTATGTCCTTCAACAACGTTATCACATGAAGTGTCTATATCGTTGGTTGACACGATATCCACCCTTTAGATGATTTGAAACAGAAAAATCAAATGGTGTTATCTTCTATATACATGTGATTATCATTTGAACTAGAATTAGACAAAAAAAAATTATTGACAAAATGGCGCGTAGTTAAATCAAAATAACCGATTGTGCTCTTAAAATCGGTAAGTTTATTGCAAAAAAAGTATATGTATATAAGGTATCAGTTTCTCTGTAGGTCAAACGATAGAAAGATGCTTTCTGGATGTACAGTTAAAATTTCAAGTCAATCGATTGAGTAGTTATTTAGAAATCATGCCAACCAGTTGTAAAAAGTATGTTTCAAGAAAAACGCATTTAAAGTTTTAAGTACAATTTGTATAAATTCAATACTTACGGCTAATCTGCTATACCAGGGCCGTACACTATTCTTTCTTCTTGCTCATTGAAATCTTCTTTCTCCTGTTGATGCAATCTTTGTTGAGTACGAGCTTCCTTTGTCGCTTGAAGGCTGCGGCGAGCCGATTGCTCCAAACGCTTTTCATGCCGAGAGTTGGCATACATTTTAGTCTGCTCACCAATTTCAATTCCCATTGTTCTTATTACTTTTAAAATAGCAAAACAGCCTTCATTAAAAATACTGGCTGCTATATAAGCGGATATTTCAACTGTTTTTAAGCCACAGTGTAGATGTTTGGGGGCTAAACGCAAAACTGTAGAATTGAAGCTTTCATTATTACTTTGAGTTTCACTACCCAAACATCTTTCTAACAATTCTTTTGATGACAAGTCTTCATATATCGGCTTCATAGCGGTTGCAACATCTGGATGAAGTGTCAGTTCGTGGTCAAATTCATCCAGTTTTCCCTTGGTTTCGGCTTTACGCCATTTACACAAACTCTCTGGTCCGATTGGGCAGTACATATGCTGCGGATTTTCGTTTGACGATAATTTATGGTAGTAGGTTGCCTATACAACATTATACATATCTTCAACAGAATTTGGATGTCTCCTTATAGCTAACCCATGGTAAATCGTTAGTTCTTTTATTAATCTGTCTGTCAACTTATTCTTTCCACCAAGTTTTTTATGTTTTTTCACATTTCTCAGTCGTGTGCCCATGCGCTTTTCAACGTGACCTATGCATTCTTTTTTTTTAATGTAAAGTTATCGCCATAAGGATTAATAGCCAACAAGGCTTTGAAAGTTGCTGTGTCGCCATCGCCAATATAATTTGTATACCTCACTTCATACCACTCCCAAGATCTTTCAAACATCTCTTTTATAACATCCACCTCCATCTTACCAGCTTCTTCATGATTTGCCGAACAAATCTCTTCATGTTCATCCATCCAAGTATTATATTCCTCAGTCCCAGATCTTGATTTCCATAGTTGTCAAGCCTGACAGTACGACGATTTTACTATAAGATCGATTACTTTTCCACTATACTTTCCGATAAGCGTTGCCATTCCAAATAATCAAATAATAATTCTTCTTCCACGTTCCATCACCAGACACAGTAATTTCTGTTGCCGAATTGCCGTTTTCAGTGTTTTTGGTTTTTCCTCCTCTACTGCCTTTTTCTTCAATGCATCAAATACTGCTTTTGATGCTATGTACAGTTCTGTTCAGATATAATGCGAAAAGAGCCGCTCGTAGAGGCATAAAATTGTACTAGAAACGACCTACGTTCACGAGGCATTCAATTCGGTTTTACCTGCTCTGTAGTCTTGTAAAAGTTCCGAACAGGCAAGCGGGGTGGTGTGATTTATGGCCAAGATGACTGAATCATAAAGAAAAATTAAGAAAATAAATAGGTATAAGCAATCCATTTACTTTACACAATTCCTGTAGTAAAATAATAAAATTACTAATAATTACTGTATTACTTTGGTAATACAGTGGAAGGATAAGTCGAACCTCCAAAGAAATGAAAATGATATATTGATAATAAGTTATATATAAACTTTACATATATTGAAATATATCACAAACCATTTTAATGTAGTAAAATCAAACAATCAAAAATCAATATAATAAAATATAACACTCCTATATAACAAAAAATATAATATATTATTATACATATAAAATATAATAAATATTATAATAATCTAATTGGGAAGAATTTCATACGGTCCATTATACCATCAAATATCAGTATTTTCTATAATACCCATTATTCTCTATGCGACATTGCAATCTGGTGGACATCGAATTCACTAATCTTTCGCATACATCCTTGCCGCGAAACAATTCCCACACAACTGTAATGTTACGGCGCAGATTATCCACGTTGCGAAAAGGAAAGTTGGCATTTTTATTGAACTGTTTTTCCACCAAAGCCCATAGATTGGCATAGATCGAATGGGTTTAGATCCGGTGACCAAGCTGGCCAGGGTATTCCCCTAAAGTCATTATGATCGTCAAACCAATCATGAACAATTTAAAGAATGCACGGGCGAATTGTCTTGGACTATCGTGATGATCCCTTCTGGATACAAGGTTCTTACTGATGGTATCAAAACATCCTCCACCACTCGAATGTATTCAATCGAATTAAATCTTCCTTTAATTTCGGTCAGTTCTCCCGGTCCATGAATGCTCATCCATCCCCAATAACCCAAGGAAATGCGTCCACTTCTTGTATTGGGTTGAACATGATTAGCATCATACCGGGTTCCATCTCTTCGCCATAGTAATTTCTTATGGTCGTCCGACGAACAGAAGATTTTTTCGTCTGTGAAGATGACTGGTTCCCAATTATACTCAAGGTATTCACGGGTAAATCGTAACCGTGTTGTAGCCAATTGCTCCGTAATTAGGGTTTTTTTTTACAGCTACCCGGGCATGAATGACTTTTATCTGACGTTTTATATCATTTATTAGAGGAACATATAAAAAATCGTCTATTTGTTGTGTTTAAAAATATCAAAAAAAATTTAAAATAAAATAAAATTTACACATTTAAAAAAAGGGTGATCCATTCAACGGCCCACTTCAAACTGGGACGGTTTTACCTGGGTTTTACCCTCTTCCTTTAGTCTCAGAAATCGAATTGAATAGAAACAAAAGATGTCTCCCTCTTCTTCCAGTACCAGCGTCATGTCGGAGCTAACAGCGGCCGATTCGCATTAAATCTGAACAGAGCTGTACATATTTTCTAAAGCAGCATAGTACAATGTCGAACTAAACCCTTGCGATAAATCCATGAGACCACAAAATAAATTTAACCCCTCTCTGGCAACTCCTAATAATCTCATGACCAACACTAACCTTCTATTTACTTCGTAGGATTTATTTTCGATCATAGGAGAAGATAGTATATATTGAACACCACATTCACATTCCATCGATATTTTAAATCCTAATCCACGAACACATGACTCACCAAAACTAATTTGTTTTTTACATATTTTACAGATTACCAATTCCGAAATTGAGGTAAATACAGATAAAAATGCAATAATTCGGTAATCATGAGTTAGATTCCCTATAATTTCTTCGTCTCTAGTTACCACTAATTTCGCAGCTGACGTACTTGCAAACACAGTTTCGGTCTCCTGCGTATATCTATTCCTGACAAATTTTCTTTTTTTTGGACTATCCGCGCGTTTAGAACTTCCCTTTGAATGTTTTCTATCTATTCTTGTCCTCTCAAACGTCGAAATAATACAGACAAGTTGAATCTTGTTCTTAGAGCAGCCTTTAGTAACCAAACCGAACTTTGAATTGTGACAATTGCGATAGTTGTACAATTTCAAACAACTTCGGTTTTTATGACAGTCATAAATAAAAGCCGGTCAGGTAAGGACAGGGGCGAAATTAAATTTGTTTAAACTTTATTATTTTAAAGCTATTATTTCTTTATAATTTGCAAGTACTGTGTGTTTCTTAATGCGGCCCTGAGTGAAGAATCCAGTTTTTGTCCGTTTTATTACTACAGTAGACGAAGGGGTGATTTTTCAGCGAAGAGACTCCTAATCTTGAATTATTCCAAAATAAAGAGGTATCTTTCATATAACTTTTTGTTCAAAACCCCTCCTCCTCCAAGTTATAACTCTCTAAAGTTAAAGGAAAAAATCTGCAACTTTCTTATCTCTTGACATTTTACAACTATAGCCTGTTTTTAAACAAGGAGGAGCATTTTAAATTTCTCACCAGATTGACCTTGCACGTGATTGGTTGAATGCGAGGAAGGTTCACATACAGGCAATTTTGAATTTGACGGTTAGGTTATTGATCATTCGACAGTTTCTTTTATTTATTTTTGTAAAATTATATTTTAAAATAAATACACTCATAACTTCAATGTTAATTTGTATGTTTAGTGTTGACGATAACAAACGAAAATAAATACACTAATAAGTAATAAAATAATAATAATTATTAATTTAAATTTACCGCTAAAATATCTAGTGATATTTTCTGGTGATATTTCCTAGTGTAAATCTGACTTTTGCATTCACTCCTCCTGGTTTAAAAACAGACTATAACATATTGTTAGTTTGATCACAACAAACAAAATAATGCTGAGATCAATTTGACATAACTTCATTTCTTTGACTAATAATAACCAATCTATGAATTAATTCACTTGAGCATGTGTATTATTTTGTTTTTTTGTGATCAAACTAACAATTTTAAGAGAAAATGTCAAGAGACAAACAATTCACGTATTGAATCTCGCTATTTAAATCAAGTTTTTAAATAGAAAAATGTAGACGCATTAAAAAGTTCTGATGCAAATATGTTATTTCATTAGCAACAGTTATCTACTAAATTTTATTCTTCTAAATTCCTTCATAGTGGATTTATTAATTAAAAACAATTTTTTCCCTAACTTTAGAGGGCTCTATCTCGGCGGGGAAGTGGTTTTGAACAAAAAGTTATATGAAAGACCCCCTTAATTTTTGCGGGGAATTTTTGCAACCCTTGAAATCTTTCGCATCAATTTACAAACACTCTGTATTCATTTCTGAAGATCATTCTTTGTATAAAGATTCCTGTATGACCTTCCCCTGCATTTTATTTTTCGTATGGCTAACATTGATGATAAGGTTTCTTTCTTTACACATTCCACTTTAAACTTGCTAAATGTACATGCTTCTTTAATTATCAGAAAATTTAGTAAGCCCTACCTTCCTTGGATCACTGCAAATGTAAAGTTGTTACTGAGGCTTCAGGATAATGCAAAAACTAAATTTAGGCTGTATAAACGTGATATAGATTGGCAAAATTACAAACGACTAAGAAATTTAACTACTAATACGATAAGGTCCGAGAAAAACGCTTACTTTAGTAATTTGATACGTGATATTGGTCATAATAGCTCAAGGCAGTTGTGGAATGATCTAGGAAGGGTCGTTCTCTAACCGCGCTTCCGCCAGGCTTAGATTATCCAGATGAAATAAACGTATTTTTCCTTGGTCTAAGCTTTATGCCTTTGAAATTAAAGATCAAATTGAATTTCGGTTTAGAAATGTGGAGATTAATGAAATAGGAATAATATTATATAGATATATTATTAATAGATGATGTTAGCATAGACACATTAAAACCTTTGCGGCTGTCATATTTTACAGTTTATTACTCATATAGTTAATGTTTGCCTAGAAGAGGGTGTTTTTCCTTCGCAATGAAGCTATCGGGACTTTAGACCAATAAGCATATTACCGTTGTTATCAAAGCTCTTCAACCAATGCTCTTAGTTGTTTGCGTTTTTTGAGGGAATTGATTTCTTACCATGTTGTTAGTCGGGCTTTAGGGAAGGACATAGCTGGTGCACAGCTTTAATAAATGTGACTGATGACATACTGACTGCTACTTATAGGAACAAAATTACAATATTCGTGCTACTTGATTTCAGTAAAGCGTTTGATACGGTTAGTCACGATACTTCGCTTAATATTGTGTCCAGGATGGGGTTTAGTGCCGTGGCTTTGAGTCTTTTTAAGCGGTACATTTGTGACAGATTTCAGATGGTTAAGGTGAAGCAAAACTTTTGCAAACCTTTTTTTGAGCTATCTATGAAAAGTTGTCAGTTTTTTAGTTGGTATACTCTTTTTGGTCCTTAAAATATGGAAAAATGTCGCGCTCTCTAGTTCAATAACATGCTAGTGATACGCCAGGCTGAGGGCAATATTTTTTTTTTAGTCTTGTCGTAAGAAGCTCAGCTGATTTCGTAAATAAACTTAAATCTCGAATCATGTCGTTTAACTAGCATTGAAAAAAACCTTAAAAATGTAGGATTGCATCATTCGAAATCACTTTCGGAAGCTCTTTTCGAACGCAAATTTTACAAACTTTGAGTGGGGCCCAAGATTTGTCTTGTTATTCAAGTTGTTTTCCAAAATATGCCCTATAACTTTGTTCTACAAAGTCATTTATGTTCCTTTGTTGCTTTTCTTGACAAAATCTGCCACGTATGTAGCAGAAATGGTCGGTGTTATCAACAGAAGCCTTGCGTGAAAAACTCATACTTTTTGTAACAAAACGCTCAATAAATTAAATAATATAATCAATTGGGATTTTTTAACACTCAAAAATTATGAACAAGATGCTATTCGTTAAAATTGTGGGCAACGACAAGTATTTGTCACGTTATACTTTGAGAAAGACACGTTAATGAGGGAACGTTAGTAAAAAAAAAACCTGTATTTTTTATACAACGGTTTATCATGAGAACCAGAGTCAATTCAAACGAAATAATGTATAGGCTGAATACTTCATAATTATATGTATCTAAATTGACTTCATAAACTGTGTAATTATTGAAGGATATTTTTAGCGTAAAGTTCTTCAAAAAGAAATTCAAGAACGCGAAGAAATGAGTAAAATCGAATCTTCGCAAGACACGAGCAGCAATGATGAAGACACCTATAAATTCAAACGGAATTCGTCTGTTGAGTTATGTTGTTGTGATAAGGAGGCGTCAAAAACGGTCGAATTTTCTACAGTTCCGAGAGTTGTACAGAAAGGAAAATGTTTACGTTAGTTTTTTGTTTTTATATAAAACTCGGTTTATTTTAATTTTGTTTTTAAGGTCATGTAAGTTCATCGTTGGTGTTATTTACATCGATGGACTACCAAACTGGCGAAATTCTTTTAATGTACGAATGGAAAATACAGAAAAAAGACGATTTTTTAACATTAGCAAAGTTAATTTCGGCAGCTGAACAGGAATTTACATTCCTCGTTAAATTAGAACATTCGAATCTCGTTCATTATTTGAACATAAAGTGTGATTATTCCGATCATAACTATATCAAAATTTATTTACTACGTGAATTTGCTTACGGTATAAAATAATATTATAATTTGCTATTTTTCAGATGTAATTTTATAATAATTTTTTTTGTAGGTCTTAATTGCCAGGAATTATATTTAAATAACAAAATATCTGTAGGAGCGGATATGTTGAGGTATATCGCTACAGATGTTCTCAGTGCGCTGGATTATTTACATCAAAACAATGTTGTTCATAAAGAAATTGGGGCATCGTCGATATATCTAACAAAAAGTAAGTTTAAAAAAAAGTTGATTATACATTATGTACAGGTGTTCTAAATTCGATGTCGTCAGATGTCGTTAGATTATCTCAGAAACTAAAAGAGATAGAAAAAAGTAGTTTTTATGTCGTGATCTTGTTTTGTGAGAAAATGCTAATGCTGAAACCTCTTTAATGGCGATCCGCCTATCTGTTCACCATTGTTTATATGGCAGGAATTTCTTTTTCATTGTACCAATTAATGTTAACCCATTACATAACATTACATAAATTATATATCGGGTAGGCGGACCAGTCAAACTTGCATCGCGATCTCAAAGATTTATTATACACCAATAGATAACATTATCAAACTTCACTGTGTAGCCCAATGCTCTTAACGAACATTAATACCTTGCTCGTGATAAGTCATTCAGATTCTTAGGCGAGATAAACTGCGACCCAAAAGTCGAGAATCTGATATGATTAACAACAGGGCAGTGGCATAAAACATGCTCAACCGTCTACTCGTCCTCCGCATATAGTCGGCATTCAACATCGTCAGCTAGGCCCAACAAGTTGAAGTGTATCGTTAATCGGCAGTGCCAAGTAAAGACACCCATTAGAACTTAAATACTGCTATGAGCAAGTCTTAAAATATTTCCGGGTTTGACAGTGGCGATGTTAATAAACAACTTAGCGTGTCTCATTCCAGGAAAGCTGGTCCACAGTCCAATCCTATGTTTGCCATCGCAAATGATATACCAACTGCTAGGGCCCCACAAACGCTTTAACGCTGTCTTCTCGTGCTGCTCATCTAACGCTTGAGTGTCAGCAATCCCAGAGTGACCTGAAACCCAGATCAGAGAAACTCTATTATCACAACTCAGTGTGTTTAAAGTTCTTTTACGGTCATTAACCAGAGCCAACACTGTTTTCATGGCCTGCAGCGCCTGGAGCACGGTTTGACTGTGTGAGAAGAATTGTACTGTCATGTTATTCACCACTCTCTCAAGAAGGATTTTAGCACCCATATCAAAAGCAAATACTTCCGTCTAAAATACAGTACAGTGCGTACCCAGGCTGTAAGCTTGCTTAATCAGAATTGTCTTGCAGTATACTCTTACCTAGAGATGGAAAATTCTCTAGAAAAAAAATAGGGACTATTCTGCATGTTAACAATTTTCTGAGAACAAGCTTTTAAATACAAATACAGCTCAGAAAATTCAGTCTGACGGCTGTAACAATGGAATGGTTTCATGGTAATTTTCAGACAGCTCTGACAAAGTTCACTGCATTCAATCACTTCAATATCAGAAAGGTCTTCTTTGCCTTCATTAACATCCACTTTGGTAGCAGAATCTAATAATTTGAAATTATTAGCAATGAAAGTTACTTTAGCTCGTTCAGCTATAAGCCGATTTTTTTTCGCAGTGTGAATAAAGCTGTAGGTGCTGAAGCTTTCTTCTGTTGCTGCACTCGACGCAGTCATACTTGACCGCTACTTTACATAATGTCGACTTAAAACAAGTCCTCTTCCACCATACAACGGGATGTAATTTTTCCACGGATTTTAAAACATATGATTTTCCAAATAACCCTTGTTTAGATCGATAAAGGACTAATTCTGACATTACCTTTGCAGACTCATCTTGGCTTGTACAGTAGCCATATTGTCTATAAACTCTGTTTCTTGTATTTGTTCATCTCTATTAAGATGAATTCCGTTAAAACTTGGATCTAGAAATATTTGCAGCAAGATGGATTAGATTTATTACCATTTGCTTTCTCTTAATTAAAAAGTTTTTTACTTCACTTTCCTCTTGGTTAAGCAAAGGGCTGTTTTAAAATGACTTTCCAACTCATAAAAGCATTCAGCTACTTGGCTTAACCTTGGTTTATCTCCTTCCATTTGGGTTATGTATTTAACAATTAGGTGATAAAAGCTTGAAACTTTTACCCAAAAAATATCCTGATCCAATATCAACTTTGCAAGTCTTTTATTGAGTAGAATTTCAACTGTTTCACAAACTGCTAATGTTTTTAATGTGTATTGTGTATCAAGAAGAATTTTTAAACTATGAATAATTGATCCCCATCGTATTTTCATAGGTAATTTTAAGGAAATGGCTGCTTTGGTGTCATTTCTTTCAGATTGCATTTTTTTAAAAGTAGCCAATAAAATGTGAGAATTATTAATTTATTTGATGACAGGCTTAGCATCTTCCATAATAGTAGACATGGTTTTCATTTTTGAAATGTCGTATGAGCCGAATTAATAAACAAAAATATGTTTGTACTTTTCATGAAGTATATATATTATCTTGCTTTAACCATTGCACTGGCATTGTCGGTTACTATAGCAAAGAATTTTTCAGTACCAACTTCTCTCAAAATTTCATCGATTTTTTTCAGCGATATATTCTGCAAAGTTTTATAAAACAGAGGGTTTGGTGTAGTAATAATGAAGTAAAAGTATGAATTTGCATTTTAATGTCTGCATCAACTGTTTCCTACTCGGAGTCCAGTATTTTATTTGAGAATAAATAACGTGTAGGCATTTTGAAAGATGGTCTTAAATGTTTGAAAAACGATTGGCAGTGATTATTTTCAACAATGGCAAATGGAGTACCTGTAGCATAAACAGCCCTAGCTTAGCTAATAGTTGATCTAGCTGCTCTTGTTCGACTTTTGATGAAACATCAATAAAACCATCGAGTGTGGAACTCGATCCACAACCATTTCATCTAAAATTAAAATTTAAGAAAATAATTTCCCGAACCGTCCTAGTTTTATCAGGACCGACAGAGGAAGCCACCATGCACGATGAGAAAATTACCTCGGAGGATTTTCTAGTGGAGAACATTTTCGAGAATATTCTTACCAGAACATTCCTCTCTTTCATCTTTACTCTTGCCCCGACTCCATCCTGCGTTTTTGATCCATCTGTAAACATGCAAATACAATATGGTATAGAGCATTAATCACTGGTAGTGATCCCGTCAAATCTGACTTCATTGATACATAGTTCAATATCAGTGCTTATAGTTATGTTATGTCATGTTAATTCCTTCTTGAGAAGGTACTCGGCAAAAGGATGACTAGTGTAATAATTATCAGTGGTCAAGTTTCTGTTTGATTCTTTTATAGCAGTCTTGTTACTATATCGAATGATTTGTTGAATACGTTGTACGGTCCATTTCTTTGCTTTCCACAATAGATTTTAAAGTTCTACGTATAAAACGATTTGCCGTCACAAAGGGCATATTATAGTTTTATACTGTATTTAGCCGGTTTTGTGGTATATATATACTGCACGAATCCACATCTGCCTCGAAAGGATGAAGCATTTCAAAATCAGTAGATAACTTTTTAATGGCAGCTAACTTGTTAGTTGTGTCACGATCTTTTCTAGCTGTAATGTAATGTAAGAACGGATGTTTTCTTCCAGCCATTTCCTTCTCTTTCAACTTGTCACTTTATATAGATTTTAACTCTTGTTGTTTGTGCGTTTGATGTGTCGTTTAATTTTAATTATAAATAGTAAACATTTTATTCATGTAGTGTAAGGATTTTGCAAATGTTTCAAATATTGATTTTCCTGTTTTAATAGTGATTTTGAGAATTCGGCTGAGGATGAGCTTAATGGCTCGAAACTAGTCCCGTATAAATTTAAAAAAAAAATTTTAGCAACTTTTATTTTCTTTTTTATATATTACTTGGTACTCCACCATTCACAGGAATTAGTATCTATTTTAGGTGTTGGACACTGCAGATAATAATTAAGATCAACCCCAATACAGTTGCAGTTTCGTGTAGTTTCCTTCTCTTCTCTTGTAATTCATCATCACATTCATTACTAACAGAACTGTCGCTGTTATCACTTTCGATTATTAATTAAAGTATCCTCTTTTTAATGCAACAAGCCGTTTTGAAAAATCGCTTTTAGTTTTTGAGAAATAAATTTTTGAAATGATCGACAATTTTTTCGAGTTTGAAAATTTCCCAAAGTATTAATAAAAGTGTCTTATTTTCAATGAATAGTACTAACACTAGTACTAATGATTTGATCTCCTCCCTTACTCACATTTTCTGAGTCAATAGCAACCTCCTCTATATCTGATAGACTTCCCATACTTTCTAAATTCTTTTTGACTGTAATACTTTCTTCCTCCTTTTTCATTCTTAAAATCACAAAAAATATTTAGAATAATAATCCCCATCTTTGATAGTAAGTGAGATATTCGTGTTTATTGTTTTAGTGAATTTTCTGCATTTACATTTTCTCGAAAAACGACATTACGATATGCAAGTTACCTTTTTTATCTCATTTAGATTCTGGAATTACCTATGATGACATCGAATTTGGGACACCTGTGCACAGTGTATATTTCTAGAATACCAGACATGATAAGGTTATCGCATTATTGTAACTGATTGTTTCTGATTTATTAGAAAAAAAAATTTTATTAATCACAAATCTTGTATTTTAGCGAATGTAAAACTCGCAAATTTCAGTTTATATAGGCGCTTCACCGATATAACTTCATCGAATCACCAAACAAACTACAACAAACGCACAGACATTTATAGATTTGGTTTATTTTTATTGTCGTTGTTAAAAGGCGAAGAAATTGATGAGGTTGTTCACATTCCAGAATCAATTTCTGCAGATTTATACGATTTTTTGAAACAGTATGTAGTTGTAATTAGAAAAATTCGTTCATATTTATGATTATTATTTACTTCTAGATGTGTAGGAGAAAATGAAAAGGGGCGTTTTACTACTCAACAACTTTTAGAACATCCGTTTATAAAACTTCCCATTGAAAAGATATGCTTAGAATCCGAATTACATTTTTCTCCAAACCATCAATCAACTCTAACCTTGGAACAACAATTGGCCGAATTGCAATCGTTTAAAAGCAACGCGATCTTGCAATCTCGCGTTCAAACTGAATTTGAGGTCTTACACACGATAGGAAAAGGTGCGTTTGGCGAGGTGTTTAAAGTTCGTAATAAATTGGATCAGCGTTTTTACGCAATCAAACGAATGGTTTTAAATCCGAAAAAGAAACAAGGCAATAAAAAAATCATACAAGAGGTTAAAACGTTGTCGAGATTAAATCACGAGCACGTTGTTCGATATTTTAATTCATGGATTGAGACGACCATTGTTGAGAATGATGATGGTAGCTTATTCACATCAACGGACACATCGCGGGCGACTCCGTTTGAAAAAAAATTAGTTATAAGAGAAAAAACTGATAGTTATTTGGAGAAATTAAACAATTATAATCACAAAGAATGGTCGATCAGTTTCAAACCGAAATCGTCGAATCGTAAAAGTTCTTCGTCGTCGGAATCTGTATCGTTCTTCGAATCGGATTCTAGCGATGACTCAGCTTCGGATAGCATCGAATTTGAACGCGATGAAAACGAAATTAACTCGGAAAATAAATCAGAAGAAAATATACAAACGATTGATACTATTGATGCGGTTAATAGAAAACCAACAAGAGAAATTCAATACATGTATATTCAAATGGAGTTTTGCGAAAAAAGCACGTTAAGAACCGCAATAGATGCTGGTTTATGCAGTGATAAGGATCGCGTTTGGAGGTTGTTTAGAGAAATCGTCGATGGTAAGTGAAAATTAGCCAGAATTTTTCATCAAGATTAGTTTTTTTTTTGTTTTTTTAAGGTTTGATTTATATTCATCAACAAGGTATGATTCATAGAGATTTAAAACCAGTTAATATCTTCTTAAATAAAAACGATCATGTAAAAATCGGTGATTTCGGTTTGGCCACACCAAGTTTACTACCAAAAGCTAACGAATTGGCGAGTATTAATTCAAGTGGAACAGGTTCAATCTTGTTTGAAAGAGTAACGAATTAATTTGATTATGTTTTTGGTGTTGTAGAATATGGAGTAGATAAAGTCGATAAAAGTATGACCGGTCACATCGGCACTGTATTATACGTCGCCCCAGAAATAGACGCCGAAAAACCGAGTTACAATCAAAGAGTCGATACGTACAGTTTGGGAATAATATTTTTTGAAATGTCTTATAAGCCGATTAACACCGGGATGGAAAGGATTTTTATTTTAACTAAATTACGAACGAAAGAAATTGAGTTTCCATCGGATTATTTAAAGTTCGGCTCTACATCCGCCGAAACAATTATTAAATTGCTCTTGAATCATAACGGAAATGAGCGGCCTTCTTCTTTAGAATTAAAAGAAAAATATATTCCTTCGCCAACAGAAAAGTACAACGTTATCTTAGAACATGTTAGAAACGCACTTGCGAATCCTAATTCGAAAATTTACAAAGATTTCATGTCTCTTTGTTTGCAACAAAATATCACGCACGCTCAAGATATTCTTTACGATCGGGATCCGTCGATCTGGAACATGTACAAACATCGAAAGCTATATGATTTTGCAAGAAAGTCTATCATAAAAACTTTTAAATTACATGGTGGGCAAAACATTCCGACGCCACTTTTATTACCAAAAAGCAAATTTTATGAACATGTCGATAGTTGCGTTACATTAATGACGAAAAATGGAACTATTGTTTCAATACCACATGATTTACGGTAAACTCAAATTTTAATAATAACTCATATACAGGATGATTCACATAAGAACCGACACAGAGCAGGGACATGTAGAGGACAATAAATTAAGATGATTTAACGCAACTTATCTCTATACCAAGTTGTACCCCTGAGGAGTTATAGGCCTTCAAAGTTGGGTCTTAAATTTTTAAAACATTGAATATCTTCGTAATACATTAAGCTAGAAAAACAAAATTTGGTATACGTTATGAGTGTACCCGAGGGTATTAATTGGTAGCAAGTTGAGACCAATTGAGGCATTTCAAAGGGTTGATTAAGGGTGATGGTTCCCTAAATTTTGGCAGATTTTTTTAACCTGTTTGTGGATTTAATACATTATTACCTCATTTCATGTGGAATTTAATTCTAAAACTTTTTTTACTCTTACTATTTTTTAAAAAACATTGTCGTTTTCATAAAAAACTCAAAAAACTAAAGACACGTAT